GTTCCCCAAGTAGCTGTTGTGTTCCCGATGGGTTGCTAATTTTTGTATATTTAGTGGGATGGGGTTCCCAGGTGGCCAGTCTGGTCGTTGACTCTGACTTTGATCTGCCTCAGCCTCCGTAGTAAATTGCTGGGGATTGGCTGAGGCGCGCGTCACGCCTGTATCCAGCACTTTGGTGGAGGGCCAAGGCGGCAGTCACGAAGGTCAGGAGGATCGAGCCCATCTGCTACACGGTGAACGCTGGGACTGTTCTCTAATACAAAAAAAAACCTACTTTTTGGTAGCGTCGAGAGATGGTAGCCGTTTGGGTTAATCAGTGGCCTTTACGTGTAGGCGGAGGCTGTGGTATGACGCGTCCTAGCTACGTGTCGCGTGCGCGCCAGATCGTTAGGCTCGGAGGAACAACTGCTGGGCGAGCGGTAGCTATTACAGAAAGTAATTGTTCCGTTGGCCAAGTGGACAAGCGCGTGAGATGCTCTTTGTGTCAGTGAAGTTAGAAGCTGTAGCAAAGTCTGCGGGCAACTCACGGTGGGGACTGCTGTATGACACAAGAGGTTAGGCGCGCGGAAGTTCCATCTCAATAAATTACACATAATGGATCCTTTGGGGTGCTTGCGGATTATACAGACCGGGAGGGACTGCCCTGTGCAGGCCCCATGTTCTCGTCCTTGTACTTTCACTCTGAAAAAATATTGTTAAACACGGTAATTATATGACTCCTTAAGTCTTGCTTTCTTTGATCTAGCATTGTGCCCTTCATCCTGACGTGTCAATTAGCCATCGCAAAGGCGTTGCCTTTGTGTTCGCCATTTTCATCATTTTATAGCTTGCAATTGGCTGGGATTACAGGTGTGAGCCACCCTGTGCGGCCTTGTTCCTCTTTTCTAAATATGAAAAAATGTAAACACGGAAAACTCATCTGTTTGTACTAGCAGCAGTCATGCCTACACCGCAGCAGGAATCGAATCACTTTTCCTATGCATTGCATCAGCATGGACAAAATTATCAAAATCCATTCCCCTTTAAGTCACTTAATCACATAAATGTCATCTCAGGTTTTTATCAACTTTTAAACCACATAACACATCCCATCGTGAGGTTGCAGACATGTCTCTTGTGCATCTCTGCTTCGCGATGTTTGTCACTTCTACCCCTCGAGCTCCTGCCACACTGGAGCAGGCGAGTCCCCTCAAGGATTCTGTGGTACAACCCTGAGTCACCAGCAGCCGGGAGGAAGGAGCCTCAGGGGCACCAAAGTGGTGCCCAGGCCCAACCAGTGTGGTTGGTCCCAGGTCCCAGGCAGGGAATGCCATCTCCAGGGAACCAGCAGTAGTTCTGGAAACAGGGGCATGGGTCAGGGAACCCAGTCAGGTGAATAACCTAATCTCACCTCACAAAGCGTGGAGGGCTGCGGCCACCTCTCCCACAGTGGTCAGCTGCTGTTACGGGTACCTCAGTTTCTTTATTCCATACACAAAACTAAGCTCCATCCTCCATCATTACACACGTCATTTAACACAGGCCAGGGTTCCAGAGACAGAAGCACCTCTGAGCTATCTGAACTTCCAGGTAGAGAAGATGGCAGAATTCACTCCTAAAAGTAATGTGCGCCAGGTGAAGCATGGTGGCTCACGCCTGTAATCCCAGCACTCTGGGAGGCCAAGGTGGATGGATCACTTCAGGTTAGGAGTTTAAGACCAACCTGGCCAACATGGTAAAACCCCATCTACTAAAAATACAAAAATTAGCCGGGCATGGTGAAATGCGCCTGTATTCCCAGCTACTCAAGAGGCCGAGGCAGGAGAACTGCTTAAACCTGGGAGGTGGAGGCTGCAATGAGCCAATATTGCACCACTGCACTCCAGCCTGGGTGAAAGAGACTTTGTCTCAAAAAAGTCATGTGTGCCAGAAAAACACAGATACACACCTGTTGGCAGTCAGGAGAAATATTCTTTTCTAACAACTGGAATAACATGTTTAATGACCTTCTAAATATATACATATATTTTTTAAGAGGGGGGGGGTCTCACTATGTGGCCCAGACTGGTCTTGAACTTCTGGACTCAAGCAATTTGCGCACTTCAACCTGTCAAAGTGCTAGGATTACAGGCAAGAGCCATCTTGCCTGGCCAGCCTTGCCAAAATATATCTACATACATATATATGTGTGTGTGTGTATATATAAACATATAAACTATAGAGTATATAAACACAAACATATAAATGCATAAACATATATAAATATATAAATACATACAAATATATATTAAAACATATATATAAAAACATACATGTATTTTTTTGAGACAGACATGTCTCAAAATACATTGAGACATGTATTTTTTGCCCTCCTCTCTCAGGCTGGAGGGCAGTGGTGTGATCTCGGCTCACTGCAAGCTCTGCCTCCCAGGTTCAAGAGATTCTCCTGCCTCAGCCTCCCAAGTAGCTGGGACTACGGGCATGCGCCAAGATGCCCGACTAAGTTTTGTATTTTTAGTAGAGATGGAGTTTCACCATGTTGGCCAGGCTGGTCTCGAACTCCTGACCTCAGGTGATCCACCCGCCTCAGCCTTCCAAAGTGTTCGGATTACCTGCGTGAGCCACCGTGCCCGGCCGGCATCAGTATTTTTAATCTAGAGATGTATCGCACTTGATTTAATGGTTCTTTGGTTTCTGAAAACATGAGCCAGATCGTCCACATTTCCACACTACAAATAACACTGTTATGAACATATTTATGCATTCTGGATTTCTTCAAAGAGATTCCTAGACCTACAATTGAAGGATGAAAAGGTAAGCAGCTTGGAGGCGCTGCACAGGGCGAGGGTCATTTTAACCCACAAAGCATCTGTGAATTGCTGAGAGCTGCCCTTCCTAGGGAAAAGGCCCCACCTGCAGAGAAGGTGAGCTGCACTTACTCGTCTACAATCTCCAGGGTGATGAAGTCATGCTCCTCGTTGAAGCGGCCATGGTAGAGCAGCAGGCCACTCCTTTCTTGGATGGCAAACCTGCAATCAAGCAGAAGCACAATACAGGATGAAGACCCCAGGGTCAAAAGGCTGCTTAGGAGTGACAAGCTCAGCCAGTGAAGGGCAAGCACATGGGGCCACAAGTCAGGGAAGAATGGTCTCAGGCATGCGTCCTTCCCATAGGAGCAGACAGCCCATCAAGCTTGATGAGCAGCGTTCTTTTCTGGAAGTAGCAAACCAGAATCCATTAGGAATGTGGTTACTATGGCCTGTAGAATGTGAAAATATCCCGTTTGCACAACATGCTACAAGTACGACCCACAGCCAGGACATCCATTACAGATGTGTTTGGACAGGAAGCATGTGCCGTACATTTGCTGCTGCTGTGAACAGATCCCCTCGTGTATGCGTTAGGGCACGGGGACCTGGTCCTTCCCACGTGGGGATGATCCTGTGGAAGGACCCCTCTTAGGGCCTCTTCCTCGTGGCACTCAGCCATAACAGCATCTTTTTGCTCCCAAACAAGGGCTAAAATGACTCCAGGGCCTTTGCAACAGCTGCTCCCTACGCCAGAAACAATCTTCCCAGGCTTTGCACATCTCTTAGGGGTCAACCCAGCTACCTGTGCCTACCCTGACTCATTCTACTGTAAGTTGCCCCCACCTCCCATCAGCCTATGGTATCACTCAGTTAATTTCTGAAATCATGCTGTTCACGCATTGGTTTCTAAGAATGTACAAACCGTAAGGAAAGGAACTGCAGCTCTCACTCCCTGCTGCATCCCAGAGCCCAAAGGGGATCTGGTCCACATCAGCGCTTAATATGGGATGTGTGAACAAATGGAAGGACTGGGCATGAATGAACAGATGCCCGAGCTATGAACAAGCTTGTCAGAACACAGAGGACGCAGAGCAAAAAAACACCTTCTCCAGCAGGATATCACCACGTTCTCAGAAATCCTTCTCCCACCTGGGGCCCAGGCAGGGGGTCTTCAGACCCAAATCACCACAATACCTCCCCAACCTCCCCGGTTTCAGAAAACTTGGCAAACCTCCTGAGTGAGCTTGGGACTGGTTCCCGAGCTAGCTGGGTGTCTCCACCATCAGAGATCAGCGGCAGGAACTCCTTTTGACTTTATGTTGGTTGGTTTATCCCTTTTCCTGCAGCAGGAGTCAGGCCTGAGTCAGCCTCAGCATCTGAGCTCAGCCTTTTTCTTGGAGTTAAAATTGATGGTTCTGGCTGGGCACAGCGGCTCATGCCTGTAATCCCAGCACTGTGGGAGGCCAAGGTGGGTGGATCACCTGAGGTCAGGAGTTCGAGACCAGCGTGGCCAACGTGGTGAAACCCTGGCTCTACTAAAAATACAAAAAAAATTAGCTAGGCTTGGTGGCAGATGCCTGTAACCCCAGCCACTCGGGAGGCTGTGACAGAATTGCTTGAACCTGGGAGGTGGGAGTTGCAGTGAGCCAAGATCACGCCACCACCGCACTCCAGCCTGCCCTGACTCACTCCACCCTGGCAACAGAGCGAGACCAAGTCTCACAAAACAAAAAATAATTGATGGTTCCCAACCGTCCCTCGAACTTCCTCTATTTAAAATGTCAGCAAGAGGCCAGGAGCAGTGGCTCATGCCTGTAATCCCAGCACTTTGGGAGGCCAAGGTGGGCAGATCACGAAGTCAAGAGATCGAGACCATCCTGGCAAACATGGTGAAACCCCGTCTCTCTAAAAATACAAAAATTAGCTGCGCATGGTGGCGCACACCTATACTCCAAGCTATTCAGGAGGCTGAGGCAAGAGAATCGCTTGATCCTGGGAGGTAGAGGTTGCAGTGAGCCGAGATCACGCCACAGCACTCCAGCCTGGTGAGACTTTGTCTCAAAAAAAAAAAAAAAAAAAAAAAAATCCCTGCTCAGCACACTGGATGCTTGGACATGGAACGAGCAGGGAAAAGGGACCTTAATGAAGACTGAGACCAGCTCAATGCAAGCTTGTTTCCCGAGACTCAGCTGCTGGGTCACACCTCATTCCCTTTGGTAGGTTTCACTTCTGTGCAGTTGACCCAGGTGGGGACTGGTGGGCGGCGTCAGTGTCAAACAGTCCTGCACGGCTTGCCCGGCAAGCACAAGTCCACTGCTGGCAATGAAGCAATAAAGAAGGGACCCAAAGCTGAGGGGAGGGTGAGGCCCAGGGTATGCCTTGAGACCCGGGCAAGTTCGGCAAGCTTTCTGTGCCTTGGCTTCCTCCTTGTGACATGGAGACAATAGCAGGCAGGACCCTTCACGGACTCTTGTGAGAAGGTCTCTGATGGATGGATGCCCAGAAAGACACTCACCCATGGCCACCACTGTTGTCCACGCTGACCTCTGTGACGGCCTGGGCAGGCCTAGGGTGTTTTGCTCGGGACTAGTCTCTGCAACAGAACGTCCTCCAGAAAGGATGCCGCCAGCACCCAATGCTACTGCCCAACCCAGAGAATCCACCGTGGGGCAGCAGCAGGGTGCGGCGGGTGGATCCAGGGCTTCCTAAGTGCAGGAATCTGAGGGCTTCTGTAGGGCCCCCGACAGATGCCTGGGACACTCAGAACGCCCCGAATGTTCATCCTCTGCAACTCCACTCACTCCATCTCCCATTAAACCAAAGAGCCTTTCCCCAGGAGAGCTGGAGACGCCCACTGACATCTCACGGGCCACAGTCTCATCTCAGGGTACTCATTGGCCCAGGACTACCAGCCAGCTGCCTGCTAACCTCTGGGCACCAGGAAGGTTCAGGGACACACAGGAGGAGAAGCCCCTCTGGAGCTCTGGGCCAGTGGGTGGACAGAAGCTGTCCACGGGCTTGAAGCCAGAAGACAGAAGTCAGGGATTGCAGGTGATTAAAGGTTTCAAAAATGCATCTGGGCTGGGTGCGATGGCTCACGCCTGAATTCCTGGCACTTTGGAAGGCCAAGGCAGGTGGATCACTTGAGGCCAAGAGTTTGAGACCAGCCTGGCCCAACATGGCAAAACTCCATGTCTACTAAAAAATACAAAAAAATTAGCCAGGCGTTGTGGCTTGCGCCTGTGATCCCAGCTACTCAGGAGGCTGAGGCATGAGAATCACTTGAACCCAGGAATTGGAGATTGCAGTGAACTGAGGTCATGCCACTGCACTCCAGCCTGGACAATAGCATGAGACTCTCTTAAAACAACAAAAACAAAAACAAGAACAAAAACAAACAAACAAGCAAAAAACTGTGTAGCCAGTCCTACAGCCTGCACTGACCAGAGCTACTGAACTGTGACTTTTTTTTTTTTTTTTCCTTTCCCCTGCTGGGACAGGGTTTCACTCTTGTTTCCCAGGCTGGAGTGCAACGGTGCCATCTCAGCTAACTGCAACCTCCGCCTCCTGGGTTCAAGTGATTCTCCTGCCTCAGTCTCCCTAGTAGCTGGGATTACAGGCATGCGACGCCACGCCTGGCTAATTTTGTATTTTTAGTAGAGACAGGAGTTTCGCCATTATGGTCAGGCTGGTCTTGAACTCCTGACCTCAGGTGATCCACCCACCTCGGCCTCCCAAAGTGCTAGGATTACAGACGTGAGCCACCACGCCTGGCCTAGAGCTACTCCTCTGTCAAAGGCCATACACGGGGAACACCGACATCATGATCTAGAAGAATGGGATGCAGAGATACAGCTCAACCCTTTCCTAAAGATACCCATGTGGCGCAGTGGGACGCACACTCACGTGAGGCAGACGGTGAAGTGGAAGCACGGTCTCAGGTGCCGGAAGGTGATGAAGGACCGGGGCAGGAAGCTCCTGGTGGTGACCTTGTAGTAGGGCCTCTTGTACTTGCCGGGAGGACACACATAGTGTGTAAGCCGCCGATGAGCAGGTTCATGCAGGTGCCCATGTTCTTGCACACCCCACTGGCACAGCGGTCTGAGTGGGCATCCACGTCACAGTGCGCTCCTGCGGGGGTGAGAGAAGGATACCAGAGAGGAGGTTACTGAGCAGCCAGGGAAGAGGCAATGAGCCCGCTGCGGATCCCGGACGCACCCCAGCCACAGTCAGCTGCTGCAAAAAAACCCGAGGGACTCCAGGTCAGCTCTGTGACATGAACAGAATCCCCCAGCTCTTGGCGACTTGCCCAGAGCTGTGCCAGCGTCGATGGCACACAGCTCCTGGTGGGCAAGCTAAGGATGGTCGCCAGGGAGGTTCTAAAAAGCACTGCCTGGAGTCAAAGAAACTGCAGCCATGAGCCCTTCCCAGCCTCCGACCCTGTTTCTGAGCAACCTGCAGGCTGAGCTGGACTCTTCCAAGGGGGACACCTAGAAACAGATGACAGGGCCTCAAGCCTCCTCCCCACATCCATGCCCATGTGATGGCAGAACATGGCAGAGCCTCGTCAGCGATTCGGAGCATGCCGCCATCACACGGCCCAAAGGCCACCTTCTGAGCAGGCTACTTGCCCTGCCTGCCACCGCCATCCCACCCCTCACGCAGACCCCTTGCACTGTCTGGCCACCCCTGGATTCAAACTCGATTCTAATCTTGCCTACCGCCCACCAGCCTGTGAGTTCCCAAAGGGCAGGCACCGCCCTGCTCTGATGTCCTCCCCAGACTTTAAACTCTTCTGTGACAGGAAGATTCTGGAAGCTTTCCCAGAGAAAGCAGCCAGATGGCCTACAGCACACTGCCTGTCTCCCCATCTGCCCTCAGCCCAGGAGTGCTCAGAACCTCATCTGCTGGGAGGGTCTCTGTTTGTGACCCTTCAAGCAAGTTGTTCCTGGACTGGCTGCTGCATCCTCCAGCAGCCAGGGATGTGGTCGGTGACACTTCTGCCCCTAGATGGGGATGGTGGCCCACAAACCACACAGCCCATGCTACCTCCTCTGCCTCTGCCACATGGGGTGGACATTGGCCAGGGACCCCTCACAGACCTTCAGGGGCTTCCAAAGACCAGAAATTCCCAGCAACATTCTTTCCCAGTAACGGAATTTTAAATGAATGCATTTTAAAATAAAATTACATTCACATACTAAACAAACGGAAAAAAACAAACAAACAAAAAAAAAACCACAGTGCAAAAAGTATGGTGTGGGCCAGGCATGGTGGCTCATGCCTGTAATCCCAGCACTTTGGTAAGCCAAGGTAGGTGGATCATCTGAGATAGGATGTTTCAGACCGGCCTGGCCAACACGGGGAAACCCCATCTCTACTAAAAATTCAAAAATTAACTGGGCATGGTGGCATGTGCCTGTAATCCCAGCTACTTGGGAGGGTGAGGCAGGAGAATCGCTTGAACCCGGGAGGCAGAGGTTGCAATGAGCCAAGACTGCACCACTGCACTCCAGCCTGGACCACAGAGTGAGCCTCAGTCTCAAGAAAGGAAAAAAATGTGCCATTGCTGAAATCATCTCAAGGTTCGTGGAGCCCAAACCTGGGCCCAGGGCCCGTCCTCCGACTGTTTTCCCTGGAAGGAAGTGGACACAGGAAACCATCTGAAACCCTTGGCCATGTGACGTGCAGACACGTGTGCAAAGCCAGGGTGCGCCCAGCAACCCGCAGATCCCAGGCAGGCACCTACTAGTGAAGTCCTCGAAGCACTCACAGGTGTAGCCGCCCTTGCTGCTGTGGCAGCGACCTTTGGTGCTGCACAGGTTGGAGTAACAGAGGTCGATCTCCATCTCACAGTAGTCGCCGGTGAAGCCAGGTGGACGCCAGCAGCGCAGGCCATGGAGGAGGTAGATGGGCCAGAAGAGCACAGTGGTGGAGGTGAGGAAGGACACAGAGCTTTTAAAGCACGGCGGGCAGACGCCCTTCATGTAGTTCTCGCAGGGCTCACACAGGCACATGTTGTAGAGCTCAGCACGCACTGCGTGGAGATGGTGGTCAGCAGCATCCAGTTCAGGAAGGGCCCCACTTAGTTCAGCTGCACCCTGTGCAACTCCACATGCCCAGCACACAGGAGGCACTGGGGAGCACCGTTTTACAAATACATGCAGCAGCCTCTCAACCAGCAGTAAACAAATCATCAAGCGAGGTACTTAGGAGTCTGAGGCTAAGATGGTGGGGCACCTTGGTTGCAAAGGCAAGGGCATCATCAGTTCCTAGCCCAGAATCAGAGGAGATGCGCAAGGGGCAGGCCATGGGTACCAGTGGCTCCCAGGGACAGAGCAGCTGCCCAGAAGCCTTCACCTGCCACCTCCAGGCCCAGGCTGAGATATATGGTGGGGCTTGCAGGATAGCCTGCAGTCTACGTGCTCCAGGCTTGCCTTGGATTCTGTGTTCCACGAGATCCCCCCCACCCTGTGAGGCCCTCTGCCTGTGGCCCCCATGACAACTCTCACCCTGGTTTCCATGGAGCGTGGGGCCCCTGTCACCCCTCAGAGTCCAGGGCCTCAGTAACTGCCCTAGTCAGGAGGATAGGAGCTAGGCAGGGAGCCGGAGAGGGCCAGATCCTCCTCCCTCTCGTCTAGGGACTGTGAGGAAGTGTCCACGCCTTTGGAGGGTGACGAAGCCCAGAGGCCATCTAATCACCCCGAGCCTGGCAATGTGCCCGACAAAGCACAGCAGCATATGGAGAGCCCAGGATGAAATGGGGGACGAAAGCATCAGGCAGCTCCGCACCCAGCACTGTGCTTTCCCAGCACCAGGAGCCACCAGTCACATGTGGGAGGGACTTGGAATCAGATAATTTGTCTGAACGACAAGGAAACGCAACCACTCCAGAAGCCACAGATGCATCCAAATGCAGTGGACTTAAGATCCCAAGGGATTCTAACAGAACCAGCATCACCCCCAGTTCACAGGTGAGGAAAACAGACACAGAGAAGCCAAATTTCACACACAGGAACGCAAGCCTGGCTGGGGGTGCCCAGCTCCCACTTGAGTAACGACCCCCGCGTCACGCACTGGTTGCTGTTACTCTGCCAGGTGGCCCTCAGGACAGTGTGGCAAGTTAAGACTCAGAACACCAAATTAATCATTGTACAACCTCGGTGTGGAGAGGGTGCCTGTGGCTCTGGCATAAACCCAGAGGCCTTCGAGGTTACACAGTTCTGTCGGCAACTCCCACAGAGCACATCGGAGGGGGAAGGGGCAGCCCAGAGGACATACGCAGCCGACAGAACAGAGGGTCGGTGGCCGTAAGGAGGAGGAGTGGAGGGAAAAACACAAATGAGGCAAAAAGGTCCGAAGAAAAAGACATGGTGAAAGATGGCCTCATAGAGTACATTCCTTCCCTCACCAACTTGAGGCGCTCCCACTCCAAAGGGGGCCTCCACTCCCCTGCCCTGGAGCAGGGTGGACCTGAGCCTGCTGGGTCCCACAGGATGGAGTAGGAGACACATCCTTGAGTTACCGGCCCAGGCCCCAAGAGGGCTGGAAGGTTCTGCCACGTTCCTCCTGGTGCCCAGGCCCCACACTAGAGAGGGCACGTGAGGGAGGTGGCGGCACTCTATCCAGGGCCCGGGCCAACAGAAGCCTGAGGGAGGGCCTGGACACCACGGCGCAGAGACCAGCCTGCACTTAGCCTGGCCACGCTGTGAGTAGATAATACAACCAGAGTTGGAGGCCACTGGGTTTGGAATCGCTTTGTTACCCAGCACCAGACAACCAAAACCAATACAGTCAACTCACAGACCAACCACTTACAAATGTAAAACATTAAACTTCACTGCCCAACATATAAGATACTAATGTTTTGCTGGGAACTGAACTGGGTTTCCTCAACATGCATGTGTTGAAATCCTAACCCAAGATGATGGGTTTGGGAGATGAGGCCTCTGGGAGTTGATGAGGGTTAATGATGAGGTTACAAGGGTGGGGTAACCTCACAAGGGGATTCACATCCTCACAGGAAGACAGCAGAGAGCTCTCTCCTCTCCCCTACATCAGGACACAGCAAGAAGGCACTGTCTACCAGCCAGGAAAACAAAGCCGACGGGAACCTGGCCACATTGCCTCCCTGATTTTGGACTTCCAGCCTGAAGAACTGTAAGAAAACAAATGTTTGTTGTTTAAGCCACCCAATCTGTGGTATTTGTAAATGGCAGCGCTAGCAGCCTGACATATATTAATATAATTCAGTTAAAATAAATTAACAGCTGTGGTTCACGGGATCCCTTTTGGATAGGTTTGACGTACGTGGGAAGACTTGTATCTGTGACCAGTGTCCGCCACCACAGATGACAAGGGACCTGATCAGGCTGGCCCTGCCGCCCAGCTTTAAGAAGAGCAGAACCCAAGCCCTGCTGCAGGACCAGCTCTGCCCCCTAATTATAAAAGCAGTAGTTCAGATTCATCAGACAGCAATGAAGACAGTAGTTCTTCGTATGAAGAAGCAAATCAAGAATCTGGAGATGATGACACAGGTCCAACTGCAAGAAAACAGAGGAAATATCACAGGATGATGATGATGATGATGGCTTTTTGGGACCAGCCCTTCCTCCTGGATTAAAAAGGCAGGATGATTCTCCTCCAAGGCCTATTAATAGGTCCTGCATTGCCATCTGGTTTCATTAAATCTACACAGAGAAGTGGTAAGGGCAGACATGATCCAGGAAACAGGAAACAGATCAATGCCTGCAAAAGGACCAGTTAACTATAATGTAATGACAGAGTTTGAATAAAGCGCCCAGAGAATGAAAGAAAAACTGCCCAAAGGAGATGATGATTCATCTAAACCCACTGTAAGAGTCATGGATGACTGAGTTTCCTTCAGAAATCAAAGACTTCGGTCTTGGACCAAGGACTTTTAAGAGAAGAGCTGATGACATGTCTGGAGATAGATCAATCTGGACACATACTCCAGCAGAGAGGGAAAGGAAAGCTAAGGACACAAGAAGCAAGGAAGTCATCCAGTAAGGAAGATGAAGAACATACATTATCAGGAAGATAATGGCTGGCTGAGCAGGTATCTTCATACAATGAATCAAAAATATCAGAATCGCTCATGGACATACCTCATAAAAAGTTAAGGCGTAAAGCTGCTGAAGACAAAAATAAGTCTCAAGAGAGAATATTATCTGACCGTGATAAGGATCTCAAGGTTAATTGGTTTAATGAAGCTCAGAAAATAAGCCCTAATAAAAATATCTAGAGAACTAAACACTAGACTTTCACATGACAAAAGCAATGTTCTTATAAGTATATTTCAGTGAGGTATATTTTAATACTGATCAATGTGAACTTTTCTAAATACTGTTGTCTTTAATAATTGTGAAGTCTATTTCCTTTTATAATAGATTAAAAATTATATATTTTTTGTAAGTAAACTGATTTTTTTGAAAAGTCAGTCTTGTGGGATGAAAAATATGGCTTACTGGAAAAATAGTCTTTCCCTCATAATAACCTAATAGGGCATCACTATTAAAAATGCTAAAATAAAAATTCGCCTTATGAGAAATGGCAAAGCTAGCTGTGGCTTGATGCTTGAGTAAATACGCATGCTTTATTAAAGATGAAGAAAGAAGGCTTGCCGGTAATTTGTATGTAAAACAAAATCCCAACTAGGAAATGTTTACTGCTTAGAAAGGTCCCCGACAAGGTTCAAAACTATTCCAATGCTCATCCATAGCCCAGTCTGGCAAGGGTTCAGAATGGTGACTAAGAAATTACATAAAGCTGGGTGAGATGGCTCACACCTGTAATCCCAACACTTCCAGAAGCCAATGTGCGAGGATCACTTGACCCAACAGATTGAGACCAGCCTGCTTAAGATGGTGAGACCCCATGTCTACAAAAAACTAGCCAGGTGCAGCGGAGCACACCTATAGTCCTAGCTACTCAGCAGGCTGAGGCAAGAGGATCCCTTGAGCCCAGGAATTTGAGGCAGCAGTGAGCTGTGCTTATGCCACTGCACTCCAGCCTGGGTGACAAAGTGAGACCTCATGTCTTTAAAAAAAAAAAAAAAAGAGAGAACTTAAGACTCCTACACAACAGTAATGGGAGACTTTAACACCCCACTGTCAATATTAGACAGATCAATGAGACAGAAGGTTAACAAGGATATCCAGGAATTGAACTCAGCTCTGCAACAAGCAGACCTAATAGATATCTACAGAACTCTCCACCCCAAATCAACAGAATATACATTCTTCCCAGTAACATATCACACTTATTCCAAAATTGACCACACAGTTGGAAGTAAAGCACTCCTCAGCAAATGTAAAAGAACAGAAATCACAATAAACTGTCCCTCAGATCACAGTGCAATCAAATTAGAACTCAGGATTAAGAAACTCACTCAAAACCCCACAACTACATGGAAACTGAACAACCTGCTCCTGAATGACTACTGGGTAAATAATGAAAAGGCGGCAGAAATAAAGATGTTGTTTGAAACCAATGAAACGAAGACACAACGTACCAGAATCTCTGGGACACATTTAAAGCAGTGTGTAGAGGGAAATTTATAGCACTAAATGCCAACAAGAGAGAGCAGGAAAGATCTAAAATCGACACCCTAACTTCACAATTAAAAGAACTAGATCTGTTTTTTTTTTAATTAATTAATTTATTATTATTATACTTTAAGTTCTAGGGTACATGTGCATAACGTGCAGGTTTGTTACATATGTATACTTGTGCCATGTTGGTGTCCTGCACCCATCAACTCGTCAGCACCCATAAACTCGTCATTTACATCAGGTATAACTCCCAATGCAATCCTTCCCCCCTCCCCCCTCCCCATGATAGGCCCCGGTGAGTGATGTTCCCCTTCCCGAGTCGAAGTGATCTCATTGTTCAGTTCCCACCTATGAGTGAAAACATGCGGTGTTTGGTTTTCTGTTCTTGTGATAGTTTGCTAAGAATGATGGTTTCCAGCTGCATCCATGTCCCTACAAAGGACACAAACTCATCCTTTTTTATGGCTGCATAGTATTCCATGGTGTATATGTGCCACATTTTAAAACAGAACTACCATTTGACCCAGTATTCCCATTACTGGGTATATACCCAAAGGAAAATAGAAAATTATACCAAAAAAAGCCACATACACTTATATGTTTGTTGCCATTCTATTCATAATAATAAAGACATGGAATTAACCTAGGTGCCCATCAGTCACGGATTAATAAGGAAAGTGTGGTACAAATACACCATAAAATACTATGTGGGGAAAAAAAAAAAAAAAAAAAAAACTAGAGAAGCAAAAAAAAACAAATTCAAAAGCTAGCAGAAGGCAAGAAATAACTAAGATCAGAGCAGAACTGAAGGAGATACACAAAAAAAATCCTTCAAAAAAATCAATGAACCCAGCAGCTGGTTTTCTGAAAAGATCAGCAAAATTGATAGACTGCTAGCAAGACTAGTAAAAAAGAAAGGAGAGAAGAATCCAACAGACACAATAAAAAATGATAAAGGGGATATCACCACTGCTCCCACAGAAATACAAACTACCATCAGAGAATACTATACACTCCTCTATGCAAATAAACGAGAAAATCTAGAAGAACTGGATAAACTCCTGGACACATACACCCTCCCAAGACTAAATCAGGAAGAAGCTGAATCTCTGAATAGACCAATAACAGGTTCTGAAATTGAGGCAATAATTAACAGCCTACCAACCAAAAAAAGTCCAGGACCAGACGGATTCACAACCGAATTCTACCAGAGGTACAAACAGGAGCTGGTACCATTCCGTCTGAAACCATTCCAATCAATAAAAGAAGAGGGAATCCTCCCTAACTTGTTTTATGAGGCCAGCATCACCCTGATACCAAAGCCTGGCAGAGACACAACAACAAAAAAAGAGAATTTTAGACCAACATCCCTGATGAACATCGATGTGAAAATCCTCAATAAAATACTGGCAAACCCAATCCAGTAGCACACCAAAAGCTTATTCACCAAGATCAACTTGGCTTCATCCCTGGGATGCAAGGCTGGTTCAACATACGCAAATCAATGAATGTAATCCATCACATAAACAGAACCAAAGACAAAAACCACATGATTATCTCAATAGATGCAGAAAAGGCCTTCAACAAAATTCAACAGCCCTTCATGCCAAAAACTCTCAATAAACTAGGTATTGATGGAGCATATCTCAAAATAGTAAAGAGTTATTTATGACAAACCCACAGCCAGTATCATACTGAATGGGCAAAAACTGTAAGCATTCCCTTTGAAAACTGGCATAAGACAGATGCCCTCTCTCACCATTCCTATTCAACATAGTGTTGGAAGTTCTGGCCAGGGCAATCAGGTGAAAGAAAGAAAGAAAGGGTATTCAACTAGGAAAATAGGAAGTCAAAATTGTCCCTGGTTTGCTGATGACATGATTGTATATTTAGAAAACCTCAACATGCCAGCAAAAATTTCCTTAAGCTGATAAGCAACTTCAGCAAAGCCTAAGGATACAAAATCAATGTGCAAAAATCACAAGCATTCTTATACACAAATAACAGAGAGCCAAATCATGAGTGAACTCCCATTCACAACTGCTTCAAAGAGAATAAAATACCTAGGAATCTAACTTACAAGGGATGTGAAGGACCTCTTCAAGGAGAACTACAAACCACTGCTCAACGAAGAAAGAGGACACAAACAAATGGAAGAACATACCGTGCTCATGGATAGGAAGAATCAATATTGTGAAAATGGCCATACTGCCCAAGGTAATTTATAGATTCAATGCCATCCCCATCAAGCTACCAATGACTTTCTTCACACAATTGGAAAAAACTACTTTAAAGTTCATATGGAACCAGAAAAGAGCCCACATTGCCAAGACAATCCTAAGCCAAAAGAACAAAGCTGGAGGCATCATGGTACCTGACTCCAAACTATACTACAAGGCTACAGTAACTAAAACACCACAGTGCTGGTAACAAAACAGATATACAGACCAATGGAACAGAACAGTGGCCTCAGAAATAACATCACACATCTACAACCATCGGATCTCTGACAAACCTGACAAAAACAAGAAATGGGGAAAGGATTCTCTATTTAATAAACGGTGCTGGGAAAACTAGTTAACCATATGCAGAAAGCTGAAACTGGATCCCTTCCTTACACCTTATACAAAAATTAATTCAAGATGGATTAAAGACTTAAATGATAGCTGGGCACAGTGGCTCACACCTGTAATCCCAGCACTTTGGGAGGCCGAGGCAGGCAGATCACAACGTCAGGAGATCGAGACCATTCTGGCGAACAT